CTGGGAGTTTTTACAGATGAGGCAGCTCTCTGAAGGTCAGAGAGTTATGTAACTTTCCCATAGTCATAGAGGTAGTAAGTGACTAAAATCAGATCCTTCCAACTCCAAAGCTTATGTTCTTTTCATTTCCTTTCTCTCATTTTTATAGTAGGTGTAAAGACCATGAATGGTTAAAACCCAGACAGTCAAACTAAGTCCCAGTCCAGCTGTACCTGATTTTGGACAATCGGTTAATCTCAGTGAGTAAGTTTCCTCAGATAATTGGGAGGTACTTACCACAAGCTAATCCATATAAATAACTTATTGTGATAAGCACTGAACAGAGTTTGGTTATTTTTATTGTCATTTGTATTAGTAACCTCCGGCCCGTTCTTTGCTAGGTTCTATATCAAACTTTTTATTTTACATGCATTCTTTTTTTTTTTTTTTTTACTAGCTCTTCAAGGCAGGTATGAAATCCCCACCTGCACAAGGAAAACAGACTCAGAGAAGTTAAGCTCTTCTCCAAATGGCAACTAAGTTTGTCTAGTTATAAAGCCTGTGTGCTTTTCCAAACCATATGATTGCTATAAATTCCTTTCCTATATTTTTTTCTGGTGATATGGCAATGCTGTTGGTGTCAGTGATGGGGGCGGTGGGGCAGTATAGCCACAGGCATTGCTTGTTGAGTAAGCAGCAGAACCAATGCTCAGCCCACACCAGCACTGACCACAGAGGCCAAGCTATCTTAACCATCTGCCCCATGACTTAAGAAGAAATAGTAGCTTGGTATTTATGAGTGTGCTAATTCCACTTATAGGAAGCTTGAAATTGAGAATACTTGGAAAAGTATCTGGAGTTATATTTTTATTGTACAGTGTTATACAGAAGGCTTACAGTCTTTTATAACTTTTATTTCTAAGGTATTCCTAAATCAGAATCAGTTTGTAAGTTTGGACAGAATTCATGGGGCACTGGGGACACAGAACAAATCCCCTCTTTTGTGTTAATTTGGAATGTCTCTGTGAAATGAGTAAATTGTTCCAGCCACATGGAGGAGCTCCAGAAGTCCATTGTTCATAGATTACTTGAGCTCACACTCCACTATTTAGCAGGGTCATTCATACAGTGATTTTTCTCATCAGAATGAAGGTAATTTCATTTGGTTCATTTGAAATCATATCTTCCAAACAAAATAAAATTGGAATAACCAACATAATTGTGAATAATTCAGATTCCCATCAGAATTTCAATTCGAATTTTGAACACAGAGGCAGACTCCTGGCCTGGCTAGAAGGTGACCAGACAATACGTAGTCCGCAAATGCTTGTGCTGAGGTTTTAGAGTTAAATGAGCAACAGTAATTTGAGGAATGAGTTCCCAGCTTCCTGAATGAAAATTTGTATTGTCTTCTCTGACTTGATCTGATTTAGAAAGGTGACTTGCCACCTTGCGAACATTTATATAATAATAGTAGTGATGATCCTGTGTCTGGCATGTCACATCTTGAAGTGTGCTTACTTGCATATTATTGCATTTGATCCTGAGAGAGCAACACTGTCATAACTCTTCAGAAACCTGGGGCTGGTTCACCAGGAGCCCCAGAGAACCGGCCTTCAGAACTGTAGCACTTGCCTGTGGCAAAACAAACAAACTCCTTCTTTTAGAACTAAGTCTAAATGCCTGACTCACTTTTCTTTTAGAGAAAACAGCCAATCTGCAGTTTTTCATACATCTATCTAAATCCTTCATCCCAAGTTACTCTGTTTCTCCTGTAAATTGTCACAACTTTTAGGAAAGAATAAATGCTCCCAATTTTATTAACAGTTGAAAAGAAAATGTTGGTACATTGTCTTTGTGCCCATGGTAGTGAGGCAAGGACCTTATCCTCAATAACTCATTAGCAAAAGAGAGACACAATCTGGAAGCCAAACGTAAGGAGATGAGGGACTAGCAAAGTCTGAATTCATGTTCAAATGTTTTTAGTTCAGATTTCTCAAATTGCAGAATTTGAGGCCAGAAGCAGAAAGGTGCTAAGAGACATCTTTATTTGTTGAAATACAAATGAGACCACTGGCCTTTCTAGTGAAGCTGGCTGAAAAAGATAGGCTGAATAAATAATGGCTGCTGAGGAGTTGAAGAGCATAGGTGTTAGGAACTGCAGGCCTGGGGTTCTAGTGCCAGCCCCTCTCCTACTTAGCTGTATGACAGGCCAGGAAATCTCTCATTGTGGCATGGTCATCTACTTACTCTGCTGAGTTGGCATATGTCTTAGAGATAGACATGCAAAGTGTCTAGCACAGTGCTTGGCAGGTGCAAATACTCATATAGGGGATCAGTGCTTAAATATCAATAACAGTGCACTGTGTCTCAGCAAGTTGTTCAGGAACAAAGTAAAGAGGTGAGAAAGCTTCTTAGAGGCTGTGATCCTTGAGTTTAGCAACAACCATAGTTGCTCTTTTTTCCTTGCAGACACTTAAAAGGGACTTGGAGACATGTGCAGCACTGGTACTTATTTTTAGGGGCTCAACTTCACCGGAAGCCAGTAGATTTTTGTTTTGCTTTAATCCCCTTCTCTCCTTTACCCCCTCGCCTCAGTTGAACTCAAAGTGATTCAGTTTATTTTGCTGAAAATTCCAGTCCCCTAGGGAAAATATGATAATGCTGTTTTCAGACAGCTGTGTTTGGGAACGAGACTGACTTAACCAGCTGGCTGGCATCATTGGAGCCCAAGGACCTACTAAACCATGGAGAGCAGCTGTTTTGGCTGAAATTCTTTTAATTCTTAGGACTTTGTTCCCTATATATCGGATCTAAGTTCTGCTTTTAAATGCATGCCCAAAGGAGAGAGGGCTATGAGAAAGTCTCTGATGTGCCCAGGGCTGCCCTGGGAAGGAAAGAGGGGGTGCTACCACCATCCTCTTGTCATTTGTGATGGCAGAAGGAGGCTAACTCTAAAGAATAAGAGATAATAGTGATTGACTTCTACATAGGAGCATTACAGCCTTTAAGAGTTACATTTGAAGATTTTTTTTTAAGGATTTTATTTATTTTTGCATAGGGGTGGGGTGTAGGCCAGAGGTATGGGGGGGGAGGGGAGAGAGTTCACCAGAGACAGAGTGGGGAGCAGAGCAGGCGGCTTGGCTGAAATACACTGCTGGGGGGAGCAGCAGGCGAGACAGGAGAGGTCTCTGCACCAGGTGGGTAGCTCCCTGGCTGGGGATCAAACTTGGGCCACAGTGGTGATAGCACTGAGACTTAACCCCTGGGCCACCAGGGAAGGCCTTTGAAGATTTTTTTTTTTAATGAAGGGGGAAATGTTATGATATCATGTTAGATGAAATGTAGAGGATACAAAATATAAAAGGTAATAATTCCAATTATGCAAAAGTGTACTTTAACTTTAAATGACATAATTAATACAAAGCACTTATCCCACTGCCTGGTGTGGCAAATACTCAGTAAATCACAGCTACTGAATGCAGAGTGTAACCACAGAGAACATGTTTGCCTCTTGTCTTGTTGTGTACAGAGTGCCTGGTATAAAGTAGACCTTGTTGACTGAACGAATCAGTGTTCTTATTATATGCTTTTAAGAAGAAAACTAGAGGGCCTCTCCTGGTGGCGCAGGTGGTTGAGCGCAGCCCTGTGAAGCTGTCTGCAGCCTCTGCAGTGCCGGTTCATTCCCGGCCAGCAGGCGAGGGTCCCACATGTTGAGGCAGACCTCTCCTGTCACACCCGCTGCTCACCTCAGCAGTGTATTTCGTCAGTCTGCCTGTTCTGTTCCCCGCTCTGTCTCTGGTGAATCCTCTTGCCCTCCCGAGCATCTGGCCTGTACCCTGGTTCTTGTATAAACCAACCAACAAATAAATAAATAAATAAATAAATAAATAAATAAATAAATAAATAAATCTTAAAAAAAGGGAAGAAAACTAGAAAAGTAAAGCATGTTGCCATCTGTAATTATATCTGTAATTGTGGCTGCTTAACCTCTCTGCCTCAGTTATTCATTATAAATGGTGAGGAAGGTACCTTTTGCTCTGGGTCATTGAGAACTTAGCAAGCTTCTTGAAAATACATATAGTGACTATTCCTACTGTATTCAGGGTAAGCACCCCAGCAGTGGAAGCTGTTCTAATAATTCTGCTATACGGTGTCTGCAGAAAACAAAAGGTGGGTATTAGGATTTTTTCTACATTTTCTGTTCATTTTTTACTGTGGACTTTTTTTTTAAATAATTGAAAACTTAAAAGCAAAAAGCTCATATGAAAATAAAACTTCACCTCTAAATAGTGGAATTAAGAGAGTTTTTCTGTTTACTTCTTTGATGTTTTCTACATTTTCCAAACGTCTGTAATATTTACATTACCTTTATCATCACAGAAAAACAACCCTCTGCTCCCCTCTTCAGTAACATGCTCATTATAAATGAATTTTAAATATAAATTGAAACAAAAGAAGTCCAATGCTCAGGATTAGTGAAAACACAGAACTGCTGAATTCCAAAGGATTCCCCATCTAAGGATGGCTGAGAACTTGGAAATGGTGCCCTGATCTGGATTCTTTTTTTACATCCTGAGAAAATTGTGAAGCAGTTAAGAACTGAGAAATGGAATTAGTTGCAGAAAAGTAAAGGAATTTTGATTGATTAATCAGTTCTGGACAAAAGTGGTCAAAAAACTGTAAGTACTGTTAACAGGACTTAAACATAACAAACATTTTTAGCATAGCTTCTTCCCTTTCCCTGGCGGAGAACAGCAAAAAAGATCAGTGGAAATGATAGCGGAAGAGGTTAGAAATGGAAATGAATGATTACCAAACTCTGGAATGAACTTCCAAAGGAGAATGTTTAATGCTAGTTCCTAGGGGTATTTAAAAGAAAGTGCAGAGAAGACGGTGGTGGACTTTCAGGTCTTGCTGATTCTAAGACATCATCAAGCTTTCATTGTACTGGTTCAGGCCTGTGCTTTTCTCCCCAATTCACTGTAATGAGTAACCTTTTTGTAAAACTTCCCTTGCAGATATTTAACACCGTGCCTGATGTGCCTCTCACCAATGCCCAGCTGCACCTGTCCCGGAAGAAGAGCAGTGACTCCAAGCCTCCATCCTGCAGTGAGAGGCCCCTGACGCTCTTCCATGCTGTGCAGTCCACGGAGAAACGTGAGTCTTGCTGCCCAGTCAGCCACTTCCCAGCCACGCAGGATGCACACCTCTGCCTCACTGTGCTGTTGCATTTTGTGCCCTTGAGGGCCTTGTATCCTTGTGCCCATCCAAGGTTCCATCAATGAGTAACCCTGATAGGTGTGGAAGCAGTATTGCTGTGAATAAAAGGCACGGGCTGCCCGCTTGTCAGGATTCTCTTTCCAGAGCTCCTATGGGCAAACAACTTAGCCTCTCTTCCTGCACGATAAGAGCTCAGCTCAGACCTGCTTCTTGGCCCCGCCCTTTGTTAGCGGCTCCCATAGAACCAGTTTCCTTTCCTTTGATCAGTTTGTAATTAAACGCTTATTAGTGTGAGTCACGTGCCCCACTAGACTATGACTGCGAGGGCAGGACCTTGTTTTGCTCATCCCTCTACTCCACCTCTTACAGGGCCTGGCATAGAGTGGACACATAATAAATGTATTAAGTTAATTAATGAATTAATTAGATAATAATGCCCTCCTTGTTCCAAAGAGCAGAGTGTTATCACCACAATTTTAGTGAATGTTTTTTTCATCTCAGGATTTCTGAGTTATTTGCAGTGATTTACCAGGCCCTGAAATATCCATTCTCTTTCATTTTTTGTAATAAGAAGGTTGAATGCACTATAGGAGTTGAGGGCTCAAGCTCTGCCTGACATCAGTCAGGCCTGGCTTCTTGTGCTAGTGGCAAGAACTGGGCATGTCTTTTACCTTCACTTGGCCTTTGTTTGCTCCTCTGTAAAGTGGGGATAATAGTGCTTACCTCATATGGGAGCTGTGAGGATTAAAGGAAGCTATGCCTTTAAGCACTTGGCACAATTATTGTGAGAGAGCTGCTGCTATTTTTGTTATTAGTTATTGTTTAATCACATGTGGATTCCAAGGCTGGTTCATTGGCATAACCAATATTTCTAAGATGCCTGCTGGGGATATAAAAGGACTGGGATATAAAAATGGAACCTTTAAGAAGCTCACAGTGGGTGAAAGAAGTAGACAAGTGAATGCTTAATGGTAAGTCAGCACAGTAACTGCTCTCATGGAGACAGACAGGTACCTTCAGAAAGGCTGTCGAACTTGATGGTTGAAAGCACACACAGGCGCCAGATTGTCTGGGTGAAGAAGTCTCCCTCTGGTGCTCCTGGCTGTGTGTGGCTTGGGCAAGTTATCTAACGTCTGAGGGCCTCAGTCTCTTCTTCTGCAAAATAGGCATGATTACAGTGTCTACCTCAGAGGGCTGTTGTCAGGGTTAAAGCACCTCAGATGGTCCTCGAAGTTTAAAACAGTGTGGAGTTTGGGGTTAAATGAAGCCGCAGCAGATTTGGAATAGGTCTTAAAGCTTACTCTGGGAGCGTGTAAGAAAGAAGGTGGAGATTAGAAGAAAATCAATTAGATGTGTACCCAAGATTAATTTTATCACATGAGAGAGAGGATGAAAGTGAAGGATCTGTGAGAGCAGACCTGCCTAAGCTGCAGATCAAGCAGCAATATCCCTGTCTGCAGATGGTGGACCAAAGGATGGAAGGCAGGAAGACTGGGAAGTGATGTATCTTTCCTCTGAATGTCAGGAATTGCTCCCTGTAAACAGGACTGGAATCTCCATAAACTCAGATACATGCGGAGTGCTTAACTTCCCCTCTTTCTCAGAGAAGAAACATTTTCTGTGAAATGTGTTTAGATACGTATATATACATACCCTCTTCATATTTTTGTAAACTCTGTCTTTTCTCGGAAACTGGGATGATATCTGAGCTGGCTTGAAAGCACCATAGAAAGTGGTGAGTTGATGCTATGAGAAGCACTGAGCCAGGAGCGAGAAGGTTCTGCAGACCGTTGCCTCTTTTAGTGTGTAATTCTACTCCTCTTGTCCGTTAGCTGAGCAGCTATGTGAGCTATAAAGTTTTCACACACCTTCCCTTTCCCTTGGTCTCATCTGTGCACAGAGATAGAAAACAGCTTCATCAAAGCAATTTGATGCATCTACTCTTTGGAATTAAAGTTTAGGTAAAGACTGTGCAGGTAATTTGTGGGGAAAATCTTATTTTATATTCCATAATACTTAATAATGACTATATTTCACAATAGTGATGTTTTTCAGTTTGTGGTTTCTTTCCACACCTAGTTCAGAAGTTGCCCAACTTGAATTATAAACATAAATTTTCGTTCACTCTTTGGGTTACAACCATGTAACTTATGAATTATTGTTTGTTTAATTCATTCATTTCTTTTTTATTTTTTTTTTCATTGCCATAACATTGGTTTACAGTGTTGTTTGTATTTTGGGAGCATAGGCTCCCTTCCCTTCAGGTGTAGCAACTCACTTTTTAATATGGTCTATTCCTGCTCAGTGCAATCTCTAAAAACATGAGTTTGATGGTCTCACTGAATTATTCTCTAATTTACATTAAAATGAATGTGTAACCTTCAAGTTAAGGTATGTGCATCCACACCTGACCTTGGAGTTGTCTTGTCTGCCTGTGGAATGTGTGCTATGGTTTGGAGTCCGCAGACCTTGCTCTGAATTTTTGACTCAGATCCTTCCTCTTAATGTAAATATACAAACTCAAGTTTCTTTTGTCCACCCAAGTAGAACCGGGTTCAGATATTGTCAACTGACTGCTTATCTCTCTGTGGACACTCATCATTCATTTGTGAGTCTATGCTGTGCCCTTTTGGCTCACTGTGATGCCTGTCCAGGACTGCTGTGCATGCTTACCTTCTTCAGGGCCTTGCTGCAGAGCCTTGCTGTAGAGCCTTGCGTACCTTTTTTCAGGGCCTTGATGCAGAGGGATTGTGCTTGTGTGGGTACATACACACCGGCACAATCCATCTGCTTATACCTCTCCTCTGCCTACAAAGTTGGCATGTGATAATTTTCAGAACTTCCTTTCCTCTTATGTCTGCCTGATCTGCCTAAGTTCACGTAAGCTTTTCTCCTCAATGATATAGTGATGGTTTAATATTTCCTCTGTTCTCTTGGCCAGCCCTCTTTCCAGTCCCTAGTCAAGATGCTAAGCAACCTGAAGCTCAGGTTTATTATATGGATGCTTCCCTTGTTTATTTCCCCCCTACCTCTTTGCAGTGTGCCTGTTGAGGTACACTGTAGCCAGAGCTCACTCTTTTCTTTTACTCTTGGCCTCATTGCTGTGGAAGTATCTAGCATATTAATTAATGCTCACAGATGAGTTGTCTTACTTTCCAGAAGGAGTTTTTTTTTCCCTTCTATATAGGTAGATGAGTTTTGTGCCCAGGCACCTCAGTAAGACTCTTTGACTTTAACCTGCTTCAGGTGGCATTTTCCTTTTCCCTAAGGGTAAAGCTGTCTTTGCAATGACAGTGGTGTCTTCCCAGAATGAGGAACTTGATTCTTTCTCATGCTCTGTTCTAGGTCAGAACTTTGGGCACTTACACAGCAGGCAGCACGTGGCCCCTCTTTGGTAGTGTGTGATGATAGTGGTGCTAAGAACAAATGAGAGTACATGCAATTTGCAGCAACATGGATGGAGCTGGAAGGGATCATGCTCAGCGAAATAAGCCAGAAAGAAAAAGAAAAACACCGGATGGTCTCACTCATAGCAGGAATCTAGAAAACTTAAATAAGGGACCAGGAAAAAGAATAACTATAAGAAAGAAAATATCAAAATCAACAAACAACTATGAACCAGAGACACTCTATGGGGAGTGGGGGGCGGGGAAAGGAGGGATTGGGGTCAAAATAAGGGGGTTGTAATTGTATGGGGAATATAAAAATAAAATTTAAATAAAAAATAAAATAAAATCACAAGAGAGCAGGCCAAAAAAAAAAAAATAAAGAAAGAAAATCAGTTAAAAAAAAAGAACAAATGAGAGAAATGAGAGTAGCCCCTGAGAGTAAACCTTTTGTAAAACAATGAAGGAAATAATGTAAAATGCAGGATTTAAAAAAACATCAAAACAACAAAAGTAAATCGCTAGGAAACTACTGAATATTTTAGTGAATCGGGGATTAGATATCCAAATTGTCTGTAGGGATGTTCAAGGAGTGTTTTCTGAGAGGGGCGATTTTGAGAAAGATGCTATAGGAAATGGCAGTCATGGTGTGACCCAAAGGACAGAAGGCGTTTCTGATGCTTTGCAGAGGGAGCAGAGAAAAGAGCCTTTCTATAAGCAGCAGAGGGTAGCTCCTGTGTCTACAACTAAGGGGACGACTATGAAAAGGTATATTCCCAGATTGAACTTGAAAACATTGCCCATAGAAATTGGATCTTTGTTTAATATATACGGTTACACGGTTACATAATTTGTCAAGTGATTTCTGGCACTAGACACTGTGCATAGCAATGTCTCATTCAGTCTTTAAAATTATGTGTCTATCCTATTTTACACTTGGAGGAAAATAAAATTCATATTAAATACTCAGGGTCACACAGCAACTAAGTAGTAGATTTGAACCTAGTTGTTCTGACCTTAAAGCCACACTACTAACCAGTCATTATGTGGCCTTCCTGTTTTAGCATGCAGGGTTGTTCTGTTAGGCTGGGCTTTTGTAACCCATCCCACAAACTCAACTTTATTTCCAAGGGAAAATGTTTCCAGTTTGAGTTATAAACCTGGAGCGTAACCTTTCATTAAGCTGGGGATCTGCCTGTAAAGAGCTGGTGGACTTGTGTAGAAGGATAAATGGGTGCATTTTATAAAGAACCTTGAGGTCAAGGTAGGTTTGAACCTCATTTAATAACAACAACAATAAAAATAAAAAATGATTATAGCTAACTAAGTTGCCACACAACCTACTAAGCCCATTATTATCTCTTCTGTACAACTGATAATCACCCTGTAAGATAGGTTCTTATTATCCATATTTTACAACCAAGTAAACTGAGGCTTTAGGGTTAAGTAGTCACATAACTGGCCTAGCGACCCATGGAGGAGGAAGTCGTTCCCTGGTGATCGTCCTCTCCCAGGCTATGTTGTCCCCACAAGATGCCTCTGTCGATTCTT